CTTGCTCATGTTCTCTTTCTCAAAAAAAAAAAAAAAAAAGGAATACTTTTTGGTTTAAAGAAAAATTATGAGGATAGTACAGAGAGTTCTTATCAACCCTGCATCTAGGGTACTTCGGTGGCACAGTTGGTTAAGCATCAGACTCTTGGTTTCGGCTCAGGTCATGATCTCTGGGTCCTGGGATTGACCCCAGCTTTGGCTCCACACTCAGCAGGGAGTCTGCTTCTCTCTCTCTCTCTCACTCTCCCTCTGCCCCTCCCCCCACTTGTGTACATACTCTCTCTCTCTCTAAAATAAATAAATAAATTTTTAAAAATAAATAAACCCTGCATCTAGTTTTCCCCAGTATTAACATTATACACTAACATGGTATATTTGTCATAACTGATGAACAATACTGATACATTATTATTATTATTATTATTTTGTAATGCCTTCAGTATCCTCCCCCTTGATGCAGAGAAAGGAGAACGATGTCACAGTACAGAGATCTTGGTCCAAGCCCTGTCTCTACCTCTGCCTAGTTATGTGGATGTTCTCCATGTGACAACCTCAAGGACCCTCATTTTCCCATCTGTAAAAATTCCCTCACGAGAAAGGACCCCAGAAATAAATCTTCATTCCTGTCACTTTATTTCCATCTCTAGCTATATGAACTGCCTTGGCAACTCTAAACACCTTGTACAGTAATAAAATTGAACATTTATCTATGTCTAGTGAAAGCGATAAAAAAATTACAACCAGCTTCCTATGTCTTCAACACCATCTAAGACTGTGAGGAATTTAACTAGGAGGTGTTAAGGAAACCAAATGTTGACCTAATAGTGGTTCAAATGCTTGTTATTAGTTTAGTGACATATTTCTCTTTGGAAGGAAAAACTAGGTGATAATATTTTCTTCTTAGGTCCCAGTCTTAGATGTTGAGTCTCCATAATAAATCACCCCTTAAATAAATAAAATGTAAAATTCTCTAAGGCACAGTTTGACAACCATTTACTGTAAGGGCCAGATAGTAAATATTTTAGACATTGCACACCATATGGTCCCTGTCACAGCTATTCTACTCTGCTGTTGTAGCACAATCATACTTAAATGGATGAGTGTGTGCCAATCAAACTTTATTTACACAAATAGGCATTAAGCTACCTTTGGCCTGTAGATCATCGCTTGCCAACTCCTGATTAAGGCATGAATGAATGAAGATGACAGTCACCATAAATGATTCACAAAATCACAAGTTATGAGTGAGGGACAGGTTTCAGGTGATTCTTACATGATGATTCTGGAATTATTAAGGCTTTTTGGTTAATAATGAATGATGTCATGTTTTTTATTGATTGTGGGAGTGGGCTGCATGCGTTCTCTTAGCTCAATATATTTGACTCAGGAATGTGCTGGCCTTTGAAGTAGATTTGGGTTCTATAAGTTGACTGTCAGTGAACCCATCCTGGCTTCCTGCTCCTGGTGCAGAGAAAGGATCACTTAGAGTAATCAGAAAGCCTGAGACAATGGGGGATATATTATAGCAATAACTGCCATTTATTGACCTGCCCTCTCCATCACCAACTATGACCCCTAGAGTCCCATTTTACAGAATGAGGAGAGGACAAGTAAGTACCATGATCAGACAGTCAGGGTCTGAGCCAGCCGAATTGCTCTCCCCATGGCCACAACACTTCCCTCCACAAAAGTAACCAGCTTTCACTGGGACACTCACATTTCTTCTGATTTAGAACCAGACCTTGCTGGGTAGGGGGGAGGGGGGAGGAATCACCCCTTGTTCCTTCTGGCTTTACTTTCCAGTAGCTGTTATGTTTAAACACAAACAATAAATGTCTCCTAAGTTACCCCTTACCGTGCACCAAGTGTAAAGCTTTTAGTATGTTATAAAATCTATCTTCTTTCCATTTCTGGAACTGCAGAGACAAGAAAATGAAAATTCAAACAATTAAGCAATTTGTGCAAAGTTACACCTATAGTGAATTGTGGAGTAAGAATTTGAACATAGTTTTCACCAACTTCAATGCATACAACTGCGGTAGAGCTTAGTGGAAATTGTCAGGCTCTCCAGCCAGACTAGGTTCAGATCTCAAACTTGCTACTTACTAGTTGCATCACCTTGGACAAATTGCCATGTGTGTTAGTTTCTTGATTTGTCAAACTTAAGATGATGATAATAATTTCCTTCTCACAGATTAATATAAGGAATAAAGCAGTAACATGCACGTAATAAACAGCACACGCATTGGCTTTTTCCACAGACTACAAGCTCTATGAGAACAAGAGTCTGTTTTGTTCACTCTTGTATTCCTAGCACTTAGAATAACGTCTAGCACATAGTAGGCAATATTGTTGCATGAATGAAAAATTTTCCAACTAGTCTTTAGATTAGATTGTGACTGTGCTCAAAGCCAGAATGAATAAACAAGGCTCTCCTTTTTCTTTCCTTTCTATGGTATACCATGAATTTGATAGGTAAAATTTACTATCTTTGAGATCATAATTTCAGGTGTAATAATGGAAACTAGTGATTGTCTTAGTTATTTCAATGTTCCTAACAAAAGTGGATGTTAGTGCAAAGGTGAAGCTGAGGCTCATAGCACATACATAATTTCAGAGATACTCTCCTACTTCATTGTTGCTCCTAAAGGAGCATTCTTATGTAGTGCATTTTAAAATTTCTTTTATCCTTTAAAAAAAACCTAATCTGTCATTAGCACATCAATTTTATCTCTGAAAATTTATCTTTACTAAGCCTGTATTATATTTAATACTGTGTATTCTAAATCCAGGCCAGGATTTAGTGGCAACTGCTGCCAGGAGCCCCTGTAATGAATAAATTATGGTCCCATTTAGCAGGTGAGACTGTGTTTGATTTCTACACTTTAGTAGTGATGGGGGCTCCAGAGAGCAACAATGCCTCCAGAGAAAAAGGCAGCCTCATCCCCCAGTTTGAACAAGAACAAAGAGGAGCATATCCAGGAAATATGGAAGCGCCTTTGGAGCAAACAGCTCTTGCAGGATGTATATGCAGCATTCACAGAGACTAAGCTCCCTATATTCCCCAAAACACCACCTAGACAATGTTGCACCTTGGCAGCAAACCATTTTTAAGGCTTCATTGGATTTATGGTAATATTAATCCTGAGTGGTGATTAACTGATACCCCTAACACATAGCAAAGCACGGGGGTTCTAATCTTTCTCCCTGGTTTGCACTGTGTAAATTATTATTTTCATTAAGATTAAGCATCTCACAAAATTACACAGCAGCTAACTTATACAACTACCTCCTTAGAATGTTCTATCTTTGAAAATATGCCTACCAAAGAATCCTTTAAGACCTCATAGCACATGCTATGTAATTGGAAGCCCAAACGAAGCATTGTTTTTGTTAGTTTTAATGCAGAATCCTCTACGTGTTTTCTATAAAACAATTAAAGTAATAAGTTTTTCCCTTAAAGTTTCTTCTGTTTGCAGTCAAAATGATTTGCAGACTTATTAGCCTGATTTGTATTTTTCTTCAAGTCAATTAGAATTAAATATGTAACACATTTTGGAAAAATTTGTAAATGAAAGATCTGCTCCATTTTAAAATATCTATACGTTGATTATCTTGTACACTAAACTATAAATTAAACTGTAAGCTGAAAAGTTAAGGATGCTGTGAAGTTGAGGGGCATCTGGGTGGCTTAGTCAGTTGAGAGTCTGAATCTTGATTTCAGCTCAGGTCATGATCTCAGGGTCCTGGGATCAAGCCCCACGTCGGGCTCCTGCTCAGCGGGGAGTCTGCTTGGGATTCTCTCTCTCCCTCTGCCTCTGCCCCTCCCACCCCTGCTCCCATGCTCGCTCACTCTCTAATAAATAAACAAATCTTAAAAAAAAAAAAGAATGCTGTGAAGTTGACTTGAGATACATATATCTCTCCATATATATATGGAGAGAGAGAGATGTAGATATATATATATATATATAGAGAGAGAGAGAGAGAGAGAGACTTAAGATTTTTATATATAGAGAGATTTTTATACACACACACACATATATATATAGAGAAAGATGTAGAGAGAGAGAGAGAAAAAGAGAGAGATACTGTGAAGACTATTTTTCAGGAACCCATTGGTAAAATTTAGTTTTGAGGTTAACATCATGAATTAAGAGTTTGGTCTAAAATGACTGCAATAAAGACAAATAAAATGTATCCTGAGATAGCTTATACATAAAGTGTGCTAAGCCTGGAAATATGGTAAAATTCCCTATTGCTTAATCTTCTATTGAAATAACAGCTAAAATTTGTTATGCATGAAAAATTATAGGCAAAGCATCTTACATGTGTTATTTCATTTCCTCCTCAGGTAATATTATTATCCTCATTTACTGATGAAGAAAAAGGGAAAGAAATAGGGATTTGTAAAGGTCAAGTAATTTGCCAGGGTAAGGGAGGAGCAGAGCCAAGATTCAAATCTAGAGAACTTGCCTCTGGAGCCTGAATTCTTGCCCAAACTATAAGCCTAAATCCCTGATGAGACTGGCAATAAACACGTGTTTCAGTTGAATATGAAAATGGTCACATGTACAACCTATAAATACAATCCTCATATAGGTAATATAACAAATCATATTCAGAATAAGCAAAAACACATTTGCCTATCCCCTAAAAGAGCAGAATTTCAGGGAATGATAACTTCACAGTACCCTATAAGCTCCATTCTGTTTTTGCATACCAGATTACGATTTCTACATCTTATTTGAATTCATTAACTAACCAATGAACATTCCTGTAAGTAGTTATTCTTTCTTTTTTAATCTAGACATGACAAATCTGAGATTCAAAGAAGAAAATCAACTAATGTCACGTAGCAACACGGTAGTAGAAATGAAATTCAAACCCAAGTCTTACAATTTCAGGTCTAATTAATTATTTTAACCTTCAGCTACAAGATGACAGAGTGAGAAAAAAATGGTTTGTGAAATCAACTCAACACTTCTTTCTTCTCAAAGGTCGCTACCCTCAGGAGAACAAGGGAACCTACATTCCAGTTCCTGTTGTCCCGGAGCTGCAGAGAGGCAAGTGGGGGGCCAAAGTTGTCATGAGAGGGGACAGGTCTGTCCGGCTATCCATCCAGTCTTCTCCGGAGTGCATTGTGGGAAAATTCCGTATGTATGTTGCTGTCTGGACCCCCTATGGCATACTCCGCACCAGCCGAAACCCAGAAACGGATACGTACATTCTCTTCAATCCTTGGTGTGAAGGTAAGAAACAAGCATTTTTCTCATTTGAAAAAAAAAAAAAAAGTTCATATTTTTCTAGTGCATCTCTTTTTGGAGGGATAGCAGAATTACTCTAGAAGATATGTCCCTTTTCTATATACACTGTTTCCCATGGTTGAAAGACAGAAAAAAAACCATGAAATTTGTCCTTAATGTATATGAGGACAAAGCCTGTGGATGTTAAGTTAATGCTGCTATAACAGTTCATTCCAGGAAATAATGGACGAATGCCTGAAGTTGCACAGTTAATTGTGGAGCTAGGTGTTAATGGTGTCACTTCTGTGTATGCTATTACTCTGTACACAAAATGGGCTTTCAAGACTTTTAGGTTCTATAATCTGGTTTCAGAAAAATAGGATAAAGTTGATCCTGTCCTCCCGAATTCAAGAACAGAAAGCCTGGATGTTGAAAGAATCCCATAAATTTGTGTATATGCCGAGTGGGTGCAAATTTCATAAGCCATAACTCTGGTTGTACAAACATGTAACTTTAGTTAGTAACATAATAAAACTTAATCTCTACTGCTATTCTGAGTCTTCCTTTCTGTTACAGAAGCTTAATCTATTTATATTCAAATAAAATAGGTCAAGTCCTAGGATTTCTCTCAATTCAATTTAAAAACTTAGTCACACATAGTATTTTCCCCCCATCCCCATCTCTGCCCTTCTTTATCAGCCCACTGCTTCCATACTTGGTATGGAGCTGATTTTCAGTTCCAGAGGCAGAAGCAAATATTGCAACAGCATTCATGGAAGAGGGTGCACTTTTAGATCTTAAAAAATAAGGTAATGAAACTTATAAAAGCTGACATAGGACAGAAGATGTCTCACATCATCTTACTTCCTGTGTATTGCTCTCCACTATCTTCCAAAATGAGTCTATATTTTTTTGCTGATTTTGAATGTCCATTGCTTGTGAGAGTTGCATCTGAATCAGGATTGAGCTGCACTTACATGTTGATAATAAGTTAAAAACAATGTTGTCTACTCATATATAACATAGACCTGGATCCTACTGACCTTTTCTTTGAATTATCAGTTCCAGTAGTGTTGGCAGATGGCACTGAGCTAATCCTATACTCCCCACTCACCGCCCCATCATCTTGTACCTGATAATCCTATCTCTGAGACAGATGTCCAAGGTTGATGGTAATAGGAGATGTTAATGGGGCCATGTGCTGTTCAAAGGAGCACTCTTGTGTACAATAATCTTGTCAACCAGATAAAAAGCATTCTGTGACTGAGGCGATGTCGTGCTATTTACAGAGGTGGGGAAGACTGAAGGGAATGAAGATGTAGAGACACACTATGATTTTAAAAATGTTAAGTTGGAGATAACTGTGGATACCTAAGCAGAGATGACAAGTAGGTATTCCGCTCTGTGAATCTGGAGATGAGAATCAGGGTTGTAAACTTGATTTACAACCCTGGGAGAAAATATAGAGAGGAAGGACCTAGGGAGAAAATATAGAGAGGAAGGACGATATAGGATCAAGCCCTAAGGAACACCAGCATTTGGAGGTCTAAAAGAGAAAGAATTAGCAAAGGAATGAAAGAGAGGAGTGCTTAGGACATGGCCTATTGTAAAAAATTGTATTTTAAAAATTCATATTTATAAAATAAACTAGGAATTCTTTATTGACTTTCTTTGCATTACAAAAAGAAAATCATATAATTTCATGTAACTATTCAGCACTCTAAGGGATTAGAAAATGATATGGTTTACCCCAAATTTGGTATAATCCCAAAAAAGGATTATATCACATATCATGGGGTACATGTATACATGCATTTCAACTTATGTTTCCAGTTTTCCAGAGGTGAAAATGGTTAGTGATGTTGCCTGACAGTGAGTTTATAGGAGAATCATTCAGGAGGTGGATAGTCTTTCCACTACCTGATCCCTGCCTTGGTCTTCAGTTGTATCCATGGTGAGCAGCCTGCAGGTTTCCCTGTTCAGAAGGAGTCGCCTAGTGTAGAGATAACATGGCCCTGGCACTCAGTGCTGCATTACAGAAAGGGAGCAGAAGGCCCTCCCCTAAGTATCACTGAATGGACAAAGGTGAGAATAGAACTAGATAGATCAGTTTGGAAGCTGTGGCCCAGGACAAAGAAGATGATGGACAGGACTATGGTGGTGGCAGTGGAGATGAGGAGGGGATGAATTGAAGATCTACTTTGGATTTAGAACAGATATTGCAGAGGGGTTGATCATGGGAGGTGAAGAAGAGAGAAGAGTCAAGAATGACTCTAGGTGGCTGGTATCTGACCAACTAGGTTGGTGGTGGTGCCATTTTCAGAGCTAGGAAGACTGGGGGAAGTGGAGGAGAAGATCTAGGAGTGGAACTAAGAATTACATTTAGAAATGTTAATTTGGTGATATCTGTAGGATCTCCAAGTGAAAACATCAAGTAGCCACTTGACTCAGTGAATCTATAGCTCCAAGGAGATGGCTGAGCTTGGGATGTAAATATGGGCACCTTCAGGAACTAGCAGGGAAGTTTAAAGAAAAAACAAACACAGATTTAGTATCATCAACAATTAGAGTCTAGACAAAGGAGAAGGAGACAGAGAAGGAGTTAAAGGAAATCAGAAGAGCATGGTGTCACAGAGCTGGATAATTGATTGATTCAAGAAGACAGCAATTGGTTCTTTGGAATGCTGCTGATGAGTTAAATGGGTTAGGGAAAGAAAGTGGCCATAAACTGTGGAAATATGGAAGTCACTGGGGAACTTGGAAAGATTGCTTTACCACAGTGATGGGGACAGAAGCCAGAGAGATGGGCGTGGGCTACAGCATAATGGGAAGTAAGAACGTGGAGATAACAGCTATTGCCATCTTCTGCAAGAAGACTTTCTGCAAAACAGAGATGTTGATAAGAAGGTCAAAGAATTTTTTAAAGACAGACTAGAGTAGGCATAATTTTATGGAGATGGAGACAAACCAGGAAAAGATGAGTTTACTGCCCAGAGAGAGGGTAGTGATCCACAGCCTTGGCTGCACATTAGAATCACCCAGAGTATTAACTACTTATGTCTCAGACATTCTGGTTGATATGGTGTGTAGCCTGGGCTTTAGGGTTTGTCTGTTTTGTTTTGTTTTTTAGAGAGAGAGATAGCACAAGTGGGGTGGGGGGAGGGGCAAATGGAGAGGTAGAGAGAGAATCTGAAGCAGGCTCCACATCTAGTGCTGAACCAGACACGGAGCTCGAGCTCACCACCCTGAGATCATGACCTGAGCCGAAATCTAGAGTCAGACTCTTAACTGACTGAGCCACCCAGGCACCCTTGGGCTTTAGGGTTTTTAAAAAGGTCTGCAGGTGATTTTTAAAGCCAAGGTTGAGAAGAACTGACTTAGGGAGTGAAATCCGTGAGTGGGTGGAATTCAGGAAACAGGTGAAGAGCCCTTGATAGGTGGGGCTGTCCACCCTCCACTGTGACAAGAGCAACATGGAAGATGGGTGAAGTTTGCAGCTTTTCTAGATTCAGTAGAAGGAGGACAAGGTTGTTTCCATTTTGTGATTCTCTTTTTCCCAGTGAGGTGAAAAGCAGAGTCATCTGTTGAGAACCAGAAGCAAGGAGGGACGTGTTGGAGGCTTGATAAAAAAGGATTGAGAGTTTGGAGGTGGGAAGTGGGCTTATTCTAGGAACATGGCAGGTGGGTCCTCCCTGCTCCCCAGAACTCAGGGAAAACCACCACAGTCCCCCTAATTCTTTGGCCTATGAGTGTCCCAACTTCTCCACAAATTTCTCGGGGATATCTTCATGGTCATCTCCACCTCTCAGAATCCAATTTCTCCCAGGGCTCACAGCAGTTATGCCTCTGAAACATCAAAAAAGGTCACACAGAACATCTATGCGCTAGACTTTGGCTGCAATTTGGCGTGGAGGGTGAGAGGAGGCAAGACTGACTCCATTTCTCAAACGCGGAGCACATCGGAATGGCCTGGAGGGCCTGTGAAAGTGTTTCTGGGCAGCACCCTCAGATTGAGTAGCTCTGATAGAGCCTGAGAATTGCATTTCTAACCAGTTCCCAGGGGATGCCAATGCTGCTGGTCAGGGACCACACTTAGAGAACCACTGGTTTACATAATAATCACAAAAAAATAATGACAAAACATAGAGTTTACTTTGCTTAAAATTTCACCAACTCCTCCCTAAACCCAATCCCGGTCTCTCCCCACCTTATTGCCTCTTCTCTAAACCCTTTCATGCCTCCTTGTTCCTATGCTCTTCTTGCATCCTCTCTTAGGAGCAGACTGTCTTTATTCTCTCATGCAGAGCAGTTCAGCAAGCTTTTTTATTTTGCTGTTTGGGTTCCTCCAACAATGAGACTTTTGGGGACTACACACTTTTCCAAGACCATTCCTTCCAGAAAAATTCTGGTGCCAGTTTTTAAGATAAGACCCTTTTATATTCTTATATTAATACTCACTGAGGGGCACCTGGGTGACTCAGTCAGTTCAGTATCTGACTCTTGATTTCGGCTCAGATCATGATCTCAGAGTTGTGAGATTGAGCCCTCCATCGGGCTCTGAACTCAGCGCAGAGTCTGCTTGAGATTCTTTCCCTCTCCCTCTGCCCCTCCCCCCACTCTCTCTCACTCTCTCTCTCTCTAAAATAAAATAAATAGTAAAATCTTTTTTAGGAATGCTCACGGAGATCTCCAAGAGAATGTTTATGAAATGGGAGAAAGACATCACCTCCTCACTTCATTCACTGTGTGGTTTTCCCAGCCCAGAAATTAAGGCATAAAATCCAAAAGAGGATCTGTGTGATGGACCCCACACACAGCCCAGTACACTATATCCTGACAGCTGTTATGCTAATTCATAACAAGGGACTCACAGAGATATGGTCTGGCAATTGGATAGCAGGTAAAAAGAGAGCCATTGCCCAAGTAGAAAAGATAACAAAGAGGAAATCAGAAGTTGACAAAATAGAGCAAGATGAACAAGATGCTGAAAATACTGCACACTTGAT